GGTGTGCGGGCTTCGCCTCTCTCTTCCGGGCCTGCACACCCATCCTGCCCGCGAGCATCCCCACGCTGCGCCTGCGGCTCTCCGGAGGGCTCAGCCTCGGGACTCTGCTTCCCGCAGGCCCTTGGTGCCTCGGCGTTCTCTCTTTGCTTCTCCGGCTTCAGGAGCTCTGGTTCCCCTGCACAGGCCGTCTGAAGCGGGCTCCTGTCGTCCGCCCCCAGCCCACTGTCCTCCCCTCTCCGTGGTCCCTGGGGCTCCCTTTCCGCTTCCCGCCGCCGCTGCGCCTCCACTTCCTCCTGCCTTTTTCTCAGCTCTTCCCTTCTCCTTGCCTCCTCCTCTTGCCGCCTTCTGAGGTCCTTCGTCCGGTTCTCTTCTTCCTCCCGCTGCCTCTGATCCTCCTCCTCCTGCCTCTTCCTCTCCTCCTCTTCCCGCCTCTTCCTCTCCTCCTCCTCCTTCCGCAGCCTCTGTTCCTCCTCTTCCCGCCTCTTCCTCTCCTCCTCCTCCTTCCGCAGCCTCTGTTCCTCCTCTTCCCGCCTCTTCCTCTCCTCTTCCTCCCGCAGCCGCTGCTCCTCCTCCTCCTCCCGCCTCTTCCTCTCCTCTTCCTCCAACCGCTGCTTCTCCGCTTCCCGCCGCCTCTGCTCCTCCAGCTCCTCCAGTCTCCTGAGTTCCTTCAACTCTCTCTCCTCTGCTTCCTGCCGCCGCTTCTCCGCCTCCTGTCTGCTCCGCGCCTCCAGCTCCTGGTGCGCGAGGCTCTGCAGCCGCTCAGCCTCTTCCTCCCGGGTCTCCTGCTCTCCCGCTTCCTGGGGCCCGCCTTCCTCTGGCTCCCTGCACTCTGGGGCTGGGCTACCTTGTTCATCCAGCCTCCGCCTTTCCTCTGTGCACTGCCTCTTCCCTGCCACTGGCTGTGGTTCTCCCTCCTCTTCCTCTTGTTCCTCTCCTTCCTCCTCCAGGAGCTCCTGCCTGCGGTTCTCTTCCCAAAGCCGCTGCTCCAGGGCCCGGAGCCTCTGCTCCTCCAGGCGTCTCCTCTCGGCTGCCTCCGCCTTCTGCCGCTTGCACTTGGCCTCCAGTTCTCGCCAGTATTCTTCCTGGCACCTCTTCTCTTCCTCGGCGTCCAGAGGCTCAGGCTCCTCTTCGTGCCACATCAGCTTGTCTTCTCCAGGGTGTCCGTTCTGGTCCAGGGACAGCTGGCTCGGAAGGCCGCCTTGTTCATTTGGTCGAGCCTAATGTTGGCAAGGGAAACAATTAGCTTTCTCCTTGTACACAGGTAACCATCCCTCATCCTAGTCACTATGCAGGTGGCCTTCTTACTCTCCTGGTTTGGGGACAGACTTTTAAATGCCCTGGCGAGGCCCCTGGGAGCCCTGTCCACTGACCTCCTGCCCTCGGACTGTGGCAAAAGGGAGCCCTTTGCTTTTCCGGACATGGGGTCAGGGAACGCAGCAGGGCCCTGCCATTTTAGGTGACTCTTAAGGGTCTTCCTTACTTCTTTCTCACTTAAACAGCAGGGAATCCCTTTTGCTACTGCTCAGAGGGGTTGTTTTTGGGCTCACAACTTGGTCATTTCTCCAGGGGTTGTCTTGAGTTCACTAGAATGTAAGCTCCAGGAGCTCTGTAAGGGAAGGGATTTTTGTCTGTTTTGTATTCTGCTGTATTATCACTAGGGCCTAAGTCAGTGTCATAATAGGTGCTCAATAAAAATGTGTTTGATGAGTAAAGGAGAAAAAGAGAAGGGGCAGTTCTAAGTATAGAGACAGGTAAACTCAGGCCCAGAGTAGATTGTGGGGGTGGCAGGAAGACCTTCATGTTTACTCCCTTTGTCATTCTCAAATTCCTTGTTCTTAATGTGAATACTCGCTGGAAAACCAATAGTCCAGTATTAGAAGAGAATTAGTGCCCAGCAAGCAAGGGCAACTGCCTGGTCAGCTAGGATGGGCTCTACATACCCCGGCAAGTCCAAGTCGCCTGTGCTTCTTTGACACCCTCTGGTTTTTTGGCTTAACGGACAGTTTGTGCTTGGCGGCACTGTTGTCCAAGCGAGCGATGGCCAAGGGGATGGCATCCAGGTTGACACTTTCGATGGTGCCAGCAGAAGAGAAGTGCCTTTTTGGCCGAGAAGGTTTAGCTGGAGCTGCCTGTGGTGGAGATTAAAATATTTAATCAGCCCTGGCTGGTTTGGCCCAATGGATAGAGAGTCGGCCTGCGGACTGAAGAGTCCCAGGTTCAATTCCGGTCAAGGGCGCATGCCCGGGTTGTGGGTTTGATCCCCAGTGAGGGGCGTGCAGGAGGCAGCCGATCAATGATTCTCTCTCATCACTGATGTTTCTATCTCTCTCTCCCTCTCTCTTCCTCTCTGAAATCAATAAAAAAATATATATTAAAAATCCTATCTAATAAAGAGGTAATATGCAAATTGACCATCACTCCAACACACAAATGGCCGCCCCGATGTGGACACAAGATGGCTGGCGGGGGAGGGCAGTTGTGGGTGATCAGGACAGCAGGGGAGGGCAGTTAGGGGCGACCGGGCCCGCAGGGGAGGGCAGTTAGGGACAACCGGGCCTGCAGGGGAGGGCAGTTGGGGGCAACCAGGCCTGCAGGGGAGGGCAGTTGGGGGCAACCAGGCCTGCAGGAGAGGGCAGTTGGGGGCAACCAGGCCTGCAGGAGAGGGCAGTTGGGGGCAACCAGGCCTGCAGGAGAGGGCAGTTGGGGGCAACCAGGCCTGCAGGAGAGGGCAGTTGGGGGCAACCAGGCCGGCAGGGGAGGGCAGTTAGGGGCAATTGGGCCAGCAGGGGAGCAGTTAGGCGTCGATCAGGCTGGCACGGGAGTGGTTAGGGAGTGATCAGGCTGGTAGGCAGAAGTGATTAGGGGCAATCAGGCAGGAAGGCAGGCGAGTGGTTGGGAGTCAGCAGTCCTGGATTGTGAGAGGGACGTCCGACTGCCTGGTGGGATCGGGCCTAAATGGGCAGTCAGACATCCCTCGAGGGGTCCCAGATTGGAGAGAGTGCAGGCTGGGCTGAGGGACACCCTACCAGCCCCAGTGCACAAATTTTGTGCACTGGGCCTCTAGTATATATATAATCAGTCTGAATCAGAAAACAACCTGCAGGGAATCCGGGGAGGGAAGCACTTTTTGGTGCCTGTGCCTCACCCCGCCTAGTGAGGGGGCTCACTGGGACCGTGAAATGAGCAATGCTCTTGGAATCAAGACAGAATGTTAACTACTGGCTCTGCCAGTGCTATTTGCATGAGCCTGTAATGGTTATTTAACCTTCCAGGGACTAAGTTTCCTACTCTAAATAACATGTGGATTAGATGAGGGGTTGACAAAACCTGAATCCGGCCTGCAACCTGTTTTGGTAAATTTTTGCTGACACACAGCCACACCCATCGGCATTGTCCGAACGGAACGGAGAGTCTCGTAGTTGGACCTTCTGGCCACAGAGTCTAAAATAAGTAGTAGTTTGCTGAGCCCTGGACAAGCTCATCTCTAGACAAAGAACTGTTACCCTAAGAGCGTTCCTACTACCTCTGACCCTGTATGAACACACCTCCTCTCCACCTTAGCAGGGAGGGTGTCTTTTTCATCTTCGTATAAGCCCACTTTATGCCCAAGTAGCAAATGTCATTTGGCAAGGGCTCAATATTTATTCAAGGAATGAAGGAACAATAACATCTCTGACTAGGGCATGACATTTCTAACCCACAAACATGTGTTAGCACCATCACTCCAAAGTCACAGAGCACTGAGGGCCCTGAGAAGCTAAAGGGAGGAGCAGAAACTTGGAACACGCCAGGGAGAGGGCAATTCTTCAAAGGATGAGTTGCGGCACCGCTTGCTTGCAGTCTGTAACGCAGACGCCATCACTTAAGTACCACGGATGAACTGCACAGATTTAGTCAGAGGCTGTGGCTCAGCCTGAACCCTGAGGCCACAGTAGGGAGCCAAGGAAGGGCTCCTGGCCACACTACACACCACCCGAACATGCAGCAGAGGGCGCTCACAGCCACTGTTGGAGCCAGCAGCTCTCAGGCACAGAGCAAAAGAGGCCACGATGCCCCTGACTGTGACCCAGCTCTTAAGTGCAACATCAGTGGGGTTTAGTCAAGGGTTTTGCTTTTTGCAGTCACCTTCCACATTTACACATGAGAGCTGAGGCACCAAGCTAGCTCCACGAGCAAAAGGGATGCTCAGTAAATAACGTATGACAAAGAGCACAGACGTAAGGAAAAATAGTTCCAGTCTTGGGTCCCCTAGCTCTTATTTAGTTATAGTTATCTTTATTATACACATCATATCCTGAACTACTGCTGCAAAGAGATGAACTAGCCCAACCGGCGTGGCTGAGTGGTTGAGCATCTACCTATAAACCAGGAGGTTACGGTTCGATTCTGGTCAGGGCACATGCCCTGGTTGCGAGCTCGATCCCCAGTGGGGGGCGTGCAGGAGGCAGCCGATCAGTGATTCTCTCTCACTGATGTTTCTATTCCTCTCTCCCTCTCCCTTCCTCTCTGAAATCAATAAAAATATATTTTTTTAAAAATAAAAGAGATGAATTAAACATTTATTTCCATAACCTAATAGGTACGTGAGTGCAAGGAGTTCAAATGAAATGTGACAGACTGAAGACATAGGTTAGCACTAGAGGCTGAGATTTTTTGTTTTGTTCGTTTTTTTGTCAGTCCTCACCCGAGGATATTTTCCCATTGATCTTTTAGAGAGAGCGGAAGAGAACGGGAAAGACAGAGAGAAACATCGATGTGAGAGAAACACATCGACTGGTTGCCTCATGCACACGCCCCAACCAGGGCCCGGGCTGGGGAGGAGTCTGCAACCAGGGTACGTGCCCTTGACCGGAATCAAACCCGAGACCCTTTGGTTCACAGGTTGACACTCTATCCACTGAGCCAAACTGGCTAGGGCTAGAGGCTGAGATTTAAATGTGAAGTTTTGTTTCTAGTTATGCCAGCTGGGCCTCTTCACCGTCTGGGTGGTGGTGTTGTCTTGGGCCGTCTCCTTCAGAAAACCCGGGACATACTCTTCTCACTGTGCTGCCAGGCCCGGGAGGGCACCCGTACCCTGCGTGGGTGAACCGTCCTCATGAGAGTGGACTGGCCTCTACAGAGGAGGCTCCCCAGGGCTCCCTGGACTCCTGCAGGTGGAGGCCCAGCTTTCAATGGCACACAGGAAGGTTAAAAACCATCTCCAAATAGGAGACTTTTTTCCTTATAGACTTGGGTACCTTCAGGAGTGTCTTTTTCAACAACTTAGCAGAGTCTTAAAGTACATCACACATTTAGGCAGACTACCAACGCCTAGGGATCCAAATGCAGGCATGCTGGGCAGGTGGCTGTTTTTCAGAGCAGGATTCAGCTCCAGCAACTGCATCGCCATGGAAACAGATGCTCCAGTATCTACCACTGGTTGCAGTTCAAAGAAATTTAAAGTAATGGATGAAGGCAGCATTGATGAATGGGAAAATGAGGCAGAAGATTGTGGGGGGAGGAAAGGGAGGGGGGAAATTAACTATGTAAGTTCAAATCATCTTACCTTCTCTTCCATCTCACTTCTGGCTCCCGGCGGATTCGGAGGACTCGGAGAACTTGGCGTGTCACTAGACTGAAACGGTAAAGAGAGCGCCTGAGCCACACGCCAGAACAGGAAGCTTTGGGCAGCTAACCAGACACCGTCTGTGCTTGGAAGGGCCGCCCCCTCCTCCACACAGGGCGCAGCTGCCTTCAAAGAGCTGGCAGGGGTCACGGTGGGCACTTTGCTAATGTCCAGACTCCACAGGACTCCTGAGGCCCAGTGTGCCCTCCCCTCCTCTGAGTCCAACACGATACCAGCTGGGCTGTCTCCAACCTCAGTCCCTGGTGTTTCCCGCAGCTGGGAGGTTCCGGGGGCTGCCCTACAGCCACGGTACCTGGGAGGCAGGGCTCCGACCTCAGAGCTTTGGCTTTGCTGGCTGCCTCCCACCCCCTTCACCTGCTAAGCCTCCCCCGCTTCTCTATGAGAAGGAAAGAGGCCCTACCAATTCCACACCCAAAGGGCTGAGCTGAGAAGGTGAATGACCAGCGGAGGAGAAACAACTCAGGAAAGAAGGAAGGAAAAGGAAATGGCTGGAGATTCCCGCCCGTGGCTGGGCCTGCCCTGGGAACAGCCTCAGGTCCGGCACCTGCACCTTCCTGGTGGCCCGCCACACCTTCTATCTGGTATCGCCAATATTTACAGAAGGGTCTATTGTCCCTTCCAGAGCGGTCCTGCCAGCCTGCCCTACCTCAGTCTGTTTTCTGCACCACACTTAGAAGCATCTTTAGAAAACACAAATCAGATTATGTCACTTCCCTGCTCCAAATTACTCAGAGACTTCCTACTTTAGAGTAGAGTTCACCCATTTCCCGTGGTCTGCAGGATCCGGCCCCTGGACCACGTGCTCCCCTCCATGGCCCCCCAGAGCCCAGCGGCCGCCCTGACCTCCTCCTCAGGACAAGCTCAGCCCCTTCTCTGGGCCTCAGCCTTGCTGCTCCCTCTGCCTAGAGCACGCCCACCTCCTGGTTTGCTTTGGGCAGCGCTGACCTCCTTATCTTTCCACAAGTCACTCACTTTCCCATCATGTGTTTTATTTCCATTTTTCTTTATCAGAAATTACATATATATATATATATATGATATATACATTTATTTTAACGATTTCATTGATAAATTTGTGTTTAAATCCTCACCTGAGGATATTTTTCCATTGATTTTTAGAGAGAATGGAAGAGAGAGGGGAAGACGGAGAGAAATATCAATGTGAGAGAAACATCGATTGGTTGCCTCCTGCACGCACCCTGACCAGGTTCTGGGCCGGGGAGGAGCCTGCAACTGAGGTACATGCCCTTGACCAGAATCGAACCCGGGACCCTTCAGTCCGTAGGCTGATGCTCTATCCGCTGAGCCGAACCACCTAGGGCTGAAATTATTATATTGATCTTTGTTGACTTGTATGTTCTCTGACTCTCATTACAACATAAACTACCAGGGCAGCCCCCTGTCTAATCTTGTTCACCTCTGTGATACCACAGCTGGGACAGAAAGCTGGCTGAACAAATGACCTTCCCTCCCCCCAGGCGCCAGCACCTTGCATGTCTCAGGTTGTCAGTGACAGTGAGGCCCTGGGTGTCTTTGGGAAACCCCTGCCTAGAGGCTGACGGCTGCTGCACTGGAGGCTGCAGAGGGCACCTCTGGCCACAGGCGGAGGAATGGGCCCATCCCTGCGTCACCCACCACCTACAGGTGTGAGTGCCAGGAGCCATAGGGCAGGCCCAAGCAGAGATGAGCAACAGGCAGGGGCATCCTTTTCTTTCCTTCTGCACTTTGCTCTGCAAGTTGCTCGTCTGTCTTCCTATCCTTAGGCCATGTTAGCCTAAGCAGGACAACAAGCAGGACTGCTTGGTGGGGGGATGCCCATTTCAGTAACACTCAGCATCACCCGGGCACCTTGGAGGCAGAGTGCATGATGCTCCCAGGCAGGAAGACTCGGAGCTTTGCCTGGAGAACTCCTCACTCCAGCTCCTCCTTCCTAAAGAGGCCTGAGGGTGTCCCTTCTGCTGCTGGAAGGTCTCGCATTTCAGGATATGCTCACCCTAGTTTTTTCAGTGTCAAAAGACCAAATTTAGCCCTAGCTGGTCTTGCTCAGTGGTTAGAGCAGGGGTGGGCAAACTTTTTGACTCGAGGGCCACAATGGGTTCTTAAACTGGACCGGAGGGCCGGAACAAAAGCATGGATGGAGTGTTTGTGTGAACTAATATAAATTCAAAGTAAACATCATTACATAAAAGGGTACGGTCTTTTTTTTTTTTAGTTTTATTCATTTCAAACGGGCCGGATCTGGCCCGCGGGCCGTAGTTTGCCCACGGCTGGGTTAGAGTGTCAGCCTGAGGACTGAAGGGTTGAGGGTTCCATTCTGGTCAAGAGCATGTACCTTGGTTGTAGGCTCGTTCCCAGCCGGGTTGAGGCGTGTGTGGGAGGCAACCGATCGTTGTGTCTCTCTCACATTGATGTTTCTCTTTCTCTCTCTGTCTCTCCCCCTTCCTTCCACTCTAAAAAAAAAAATCAATGGAAAAAAATATCCTTAGATGAGGATTAACAACAACAAAAAACCCAACAAATTCAGAGAGGGCAGTGCTGGATCCGTGGCACATTCCACACTTGGTAGCTGGTGTGGTTGAGATGTGCTGTCTTGTTGACCTACTTCTTTCTTGTCTTATTTCCCTTTAAATTAGTCCAATCCAACAAATGATTACTGGGGAGACAGAGATATGTAAGATGTAGTTTTTCCCTTGAGGAACTCAATGTTTAGAGACGGAGAGAAAACTGTTAGGCGGATGTAGACACACAAGTGCTCCTGCTGTGTAGGAAGTGCTGTGGGCGCACAGCAAAGGCGCGGAGGAGACAGCACAGCTTGGCTTCCCAGACCTGAGTCTCAAGGAGCACGTGGAAGACCCTGGGAAGAGCACGTGCAAAGGGCATGGCCCCGCTCTCCCCACCCCCACACTCCCCCGCCCCAGGATGGTCCCGCTTCAGATGAAGGCACCTGCCCACGAAGTCCTCTCCCTGGGCCACTCAACAGAAAAGCCTCTCCCCCTTCCCCCTGCCCTGCAGACCCCAGGGTCATTGGCTGCCCCTGTCCACTGCCCAACGGCCTCCCGGGTTATTAGCAGTCACGTCCTTGCCCCGTGGAGCCTCACTTTGTTCTCGGCGTCTGGGAGGATGAGGTCCTGCTGAGTCACAGGTTCCATGGGACTGGCCAGGAGCGGGTCCCCTTCTAGGCTGGCCTCCCCGCTGTCTGCCCTCTTCATGGGAGTGGCACTGGGCGGCGGCTGCCCAAACTTGATGCTCTTGCCCAACTGTCGCTGGAGAGAAACACAAGAAAGACGTGCTGAGGCGGGGAAGCAGCTCGCAGGAACCGCAGCCAGGGTCCCTGCGGGTCTGGTTGGCCTGAGGCATGTTCTGCGCACGGCTGCTCTCCAAACACCGCGCCAGTGACCGAGAGGCAGCCCTACAATAAGCGAGTGCGTTTCCGGCCTCGGTTCCCGCCTTCCAGCCGCGAGCTCTTTGCAGCCAGCCACCCTCTTTCATGGAGATGTCACTTTTCCAGGGGGCAGAAAGCCCAGTTTCCGGACCAAAAGTTGGGATACGTGTTAGGACAAAAAATGTTTGACCTCAAAATCAATTTATAGGAAAGGTCTGTCAAAAGTACAAAAATTGTATAGAAAATGGTTCCATGAAACGCAGGAACCCCTGGGGGAAATCCAGACCCTAGTGGCTGCAACGAGGAAACTGTCAACCCCCTTTGGACACATTCCCCCGGAATAGCTCTGCTTTGGCCACCTCCCTCACCAGCTTGAACACCATGTTCTGGCCACAGTGGGTACCACTGCCAGGGCCAGCGCCTCTTTCCACGGTCAATGCTGAAGCCCTGGGAGGGACAGAATCCTGTCCTGCCTCCAGGACCTCTGCTTTGCCCTCGCTGTAGCTGCCCACTGTGAACCAGGGGCCGGCAGACCCACGTGGGGAAGGGACAGAAGTTGGCAGGAGAAAAGCACTGAGGAGGGGCTGCATTCCAGTGGGTGTGGCTGACCCGGTAGGGAGAAGGGGTGGGAAATCAGGGGGTACCAATCAGGAAGAAAATAGTAAGTATTTGGAATTAGAGAAAAGCCAGATTAGAAAAGGAAATATATTCCCTGAAGAAAAATAAAAACAATAGCTAAAGAAAGGGCAACATATTTAAGGGGCCGTGGGCAGAGAAAATGAACTACATTCAGGAAGAAAAGGCCGTAAGCATGGCGGTCTGGGAGACCACGGAATCGAGGGTACTGTGCAGACCACTTAAGGCCTTCGTCTAGAGCAGGGTTTCAACCTCAGCACCTGACCTTCTGGGCCGGTAATTCTTTGCTGTGGGGAGCTGTCCTGTGCATGATGGGCTGTTTAGCAGATTGCCAGATGCCAGTGGCAATCCCTCTTTCCCCAGCAGAGACAACCAACATTGTCTCCAGATGCTGTCCCATGTCCCCTGAGCAGTAAAATTGCCTCCGGCCGAGAACTGCTGCTCTAGATCTAGGTACAGTGGGGCCTTGACTTACACGAGTTTAATTTGTTCCGTGACGGAGCTCGTAACTCAAATTACTCGTATGTCAAATCAACAGTGAACGAGTGAGACACGTGATGCTGGGCTGATGCTGTGGCGTTCACTGTGACGTTCGCTGCGCCAACCAGCGGTGGGGTATCTGAAGCTGGCTCGTAACCCGAATTTTAGCTCGCAACTCAAAGCAAAAAATCGGCCGAGACGGCTCATATCTCGAAAAACTCGTTAGTCGGGACACTCGTAAGTCAAGGCCCCACTGTACTTGGGTCTCATAGTCCTTTTATGCCTCAAAAACAGAGAGAAAGAGGAGGTGATCTGATTTTTATCTTTAATTGGGTTAATGTTTAATCCCACAGAGTTGCAAAGAACCTTAGCAATCATACAGTCCAACACCTCACTCTGCAAACAAATCAGCGGTCCAGCAGGGAGAGGTGACTGGCCCCAGCTTATGGGAAGAATGAGTCGCCCCAAAGGAATTTGAATCTAGGTCTTCAAAAACCGCTTTCAGTGTTATTTTCGTTGCACGCCACTGGCTCTTATAAACTTGACATCACACTTCCTTCTCACAGGGGCAAGAATAAAAACACGAAGCAGCATTTTTATACCTTACTGAAGTTTCCTGGCGGAGAAGCCCTCAAAGGGAATGCCCCTCCTCCCTCTGAACTCAGGGTACCAAACCCACCCACCGCTGCCCAGCTCCCCCTTAGCCTTGCACGATGTGTGGTGAGATTGCAGAGACAT